ATCTGTGAAACATTGCCAAAAGCAGTTTTAGAGAATGAAAAGAGAGGATGAAGATTTCAGCCAAAGGTGATAAATGGTAATGTTAATGGTGCCGATCTGAGGGCGCTCAAGTCTTCAACCCCATTGCATTACCAGTGCAAGGCTAACTCACCCTACCAGGTATACAAATTGATCGAGTAATTTTGTCCATAGAAGGAATTCACCTTCAAGCAAACCTCCAGCAGCCAAAAATAAACACAAAAAAAAACTAATTTATCTTCTAATTCTCACTCACTCCATATACTATGGTTGTGGTGAGATTTAAGAAGGTTGCTTCTGCAGTCATGTTAAAGAACAGGGTGGTGAACTCATCTGGAAATGATTAATTAAACTCGCAAAGCACCGGGGGAATAACATAGATAAAAGCTCTTTTGTACAATCAGAAACAGAATGAGTTTAATGAGGAGTCTTACACAGATTGGCCCTTTCTCCTCCATTGATTTAATTATCCAATCAAATGAAGACGCTGTCTACCACTTTCTTTTTCACCTTTTTAAACATGCATGAAAATTACTGAGCACCTGGTTACCACTAATTTAATAGACTTAATCCCTATCTGTGTTTCTACTTAATTTCAAAGCACAAGTGAAATGGAGTAAATTCAATAGCATCAGGTGAATTTTGAGCATGGCATAAAATTATCCATAGCCCTTGAGCAGTGTTTCTCAGCCCTGCTCCTGGAGTTCACCCAACACTGCAGATTTGGTATGCCTCCCTAATCAAACACACCTGCTTCAACTCATCGACTCGTTAGCAAAGACATAAAGAGCTGAAATGGACCGGAAAACTGTCTCAGAGCAACACAGTAGTGATTTCTACAAGAATCAGTGTGTTTGAATGAATCGGTTGAGTGAATGATTCAGTGACTTGCTCGTTTTGTTATTTAAATTACATTTAGTCATTTAGCAGATGCTTTTATCCAAAGCGACTTACAAATGAGGACAATAGAAGCAATTAAATCTAACAAAAGAGCAACAATATGTAAGTGCAAATGACAAGTCTCGGTTAGCCTATAACGCAGTACACGCAGCAAGGTAGATATATATACACACACACACAAAGGAAAACAAGTAGATAAAATTGAAAGCTAGTGTTTGTTTTTTTAATAAAAAAAGATAAATAGATAAAGTAGAATTAAAATAGAATAGAAAATGCTAGAGTTAGAGGGTCAAATAAAGTGTGAAAAATTAGTAAGTGTGTTTGAACAAATCTCTAGTAATGGGAGAAATTAAGCTTTTTGAAGCTCTAAATCAATTGAAACAATTGTTTCGTAAAATTATTCGCTGTTTCAAAGCATTCAGAACATTTTAAACAACTGCAAATGTTTCCATGATAATGTAATCTACAAACAATTAAATATTAAATACAATTAAATACCATTCAGTGTGATGTTTCTGTAAAAATTGTGTTTTTTTATTGTTTGTTTTGTGTGTTAATGAGCAGGGCAGGGCATAGAAGCAACTAAGTATCATTCTCCTTTTTGTACATGCTTAAGTATTAATTCAATAAATTAATTAAAATTGAACCTAAATTATAAAACAGACCTGAGGGTTGCTGAAATCACGTGACTTGGTGAGTTTGATACAAGCGGAACGTGCAAACAAGCGGAATGAGAGGGGGTACGTTTTTAATCGTAATTCCTGCAGGATCATAAAAATAAATTCCTTTCGCAGTTATTGATTTGTTTTCCTCAAATTTATTTTTTTTTTTTTTTTGGGATGCTAGCATGCTAGGTTCAAGATAGTCGTGTTAACCTACTGTTTTTGGTAGTATATCATATTTCAAAATGGAGTATATAATCATTATTTTAATCAATCATTATAATAAACAAACTATAAAAATAAGATAATAAATAATGATTATTCTTTTCCTAAAGCCTATCAAAAATATGAAAATGCACAGTATACTAAATAAAATGTATTTTAAATAATTATAAAACTATAACATTATAAAGTGAACATTGTCATTTAAAGTAGGTAATGTGTGAATCTATTTATCTTAACCTGACGTTGAATTTACCGAATGACTAAAAAGAGTTATTCATATGGAAGAAAAATAATGCCATATGTCTTTGAAACAAAAAAGCACGTTGAATAGCACTAACTGAAAAAATAATGCATTGCATTAACAGTGCTTGCATTTTAATGCCTTGTATTTCCAGGGCTTGCATTTTTAGGTCCTGAAATTTAACATAGTTGTTCATTTAAGCTGTGAATATTTCAATTCAAAATATTTCACACACATTTTCATAATTAAAAATTCAATAATTCATACTAACCTTCCAGAATTCACTTCCAAAATATTCAGTCTGTTTAAAAATACGATGTATAATATTCAACAGGCAAATTTCGGTCCATTTTATTTCACTTTCCAAATTCGCTTCCACAAATTCAGTGGTTAAAATTCGACAGAAAATGCGGCATTGCACATCCAGGAGCTGCAGGAATAGCAGTAGAGAACCGATGCATGATCTCCAGCTGCTGTCAGTTGCTCACCAGCAGGTGGCGCAAGCGGCTGTTGATGAAGACCAAAGCAACAGGTAGATCAAGTAATTCATTCACAAAAACAGAACTGCAGAAATGGAGCAAACGCTAAAAAGTGTTGAACTTGAAAATTGTTTATGCACGAGTGCACTTGTTAAATGAAGGCGTATTGTAGAAAATGGATTAAACAAAATTAAATTAAAAAAAAGTTTATTAACAAGCTGCAGTTTTATTACATCAGGCGCTGGCACAGATGCAGTATATTAATGCCACTGGTCATCAATAAGGTGCAGATTGGTCCTCAATTTGTGTTTCCAACAGTGTTTGCCATGATAAACAGTTGGCGGTTAAAGTTTTCTATGCACAATTTGATTTGACGAAAGTCACGAGACCTGTTACTATCTCTCTATCCAATCACGTTGATGGATAAAAAATAAAATTAAAATAAGCATGTGACGACCACAAACGGAGGAAAATAGCGGAGTAAAAGTACCGATACATCACTTAAAATGTACTCAAGTAAAAGTAAAAGTACACAATTTTTAAACTACTCAAAAAAGTACAATTACTGATAAAAAACTACTTAATTACTGTAACGTGAGTATTTGTAATTCGTTACTTCACACCCCTGATTAGTTCACTGAGAGCATTATGGGTCCTTGGGGAATCCTGGAGTGTGATGTATGGGGGGGAACCCCAGTATTGCAGCACAGCATCACACAAGCCATGATACAAGTAAAGGAAACTAAGCAACTGAAAGCAATATATGTCTTCCTCAGATGTAATGTTAGTTCTATACATCAGC